TGGGGGAGCCGTAGGGGCGGCGCTGCCTCCGGGCCGGCTGTGGCGTCGGGCTCAGCAGCAGCAGGATGCCGCAGTGCCGCGGGAGCTGGTCTGGATCGCCGCGATACCGAATCGTACCCCGCTGCGCAGACGAGCGTCCTTCCCCGCGATGCGCACTGCCCAGCCCGCACGCGCAGGCTCTCGGGAGGTTTGGGGGGGAAGTTGCCGTAGTCTCCAGCCGGGGTAACAGTGCTCTGGCTGTGGCGTCGGGCTCAGCAGCAGCAGGATGCCGCAGTGCCGCGGGAGCTGGTCTGGATCGCCGCGATACCGAATCGTACCCCGCTGCGCAGACGAGCGTCCTTCCCCGCGATGCGCACTGCCCAGCCCGCACGCGCAGGCTCTCGGGAGGTTTGGGGGGGAAGTTGCCGTAGTCTCCAGCCGGGGTAACAGTGCTCTCCTCCTGGCAGCCTTCCCCGAAGCGGTGCGTGCTCATTACTCACTTTTATCAGCCAGGGAGCCGTTTATTCCCCTAACATCTGCAACTGTTTTCCACAGATTCCTTTACATTTACTAACAGCTGCCACGACTTCCTCTGGGCTCACCGGCCTCCAGCACCCCGCTCCGTTCCCCCTGCACCGTGGTGTTGGTTCCTGTGGGTGCTGCTCTGGTGGCACAACGGGCACAGCCCGCCGGCCCGTGTGAGCCCACAGCACTGGCTCTGTGCCTGCACGTTCCTGGCTCCTTCAAAGGCTCCTGCTCTGGCAGCTAACAGGATTTTTAAAGTAAGATTTTGTTGTTGTTGTTGCTGTCGCTGCCCTGTGACCTGCGCCAGGCTCTGGTTTTGCTGCTGCTCAGGGTGAGCGAGCAGCTCCAGCCCGGGAGGTTTCCAGCTGAGCCCGTCCTCCAGCAGGAGCACCACAAACCCTTGTTTCTGCAGCGCCGTTTCCAGGGATTAACCACAAAAGGTTTCTGTACAAAGGGCCCCCAGGCTCCTCTTTCAGTCAGCCTCAAGAGCCTCACGTTTTTAGCCAAAAAAGGAAATGACCCAGCTGCACGTAGCACTGGAACATCTGGATTCTATCCCTGTCATGAATGGGTCATGGCTGTGCACGGCCCAGTGCCTGATTTACGGGAGGGGGAGGATGATGTCATGCACAAACATCCCCTGAGACTCCCAGAGTGTGGGTCTAAAACAGGCACGAAAATATTAAGTGCAGGCGAACAGTGCGAGGGGGAGGGCAGAGCTGGGGCGGCTGCGCAGGGGCAGGGGTAGGAATAGGGGGGAGCCCAGGGTGGCACAGGGGGTGTAGAAAGACCCCCCTGGCATTAACCAAACACACCCGAGCTGCGCTCCCCTGCACTGCTCGCTGGCACATCAGCCCGGCGGGGGCTCAGCACAGGATCGGGACTGCCTTTGCAGCCCCCCACAGGCAGAGTTAGGTCCAAGCCACTGCCTCCCCCGGCCCCAGTGAGGGGTCCCAAAAGGGCCGCTCGCTCTGGGCCACGGCGAGAGCAGGGCCCTGCTGTGGGCTGGCTGCTGCAGTTGCAGGACTTAAGCAGGGATGGGGATGGGTACATGAATGGAGACATGATGCTCCTCGGTGTCTGGAAGCAGCCTTGTGTCATGGCCCAGGGCACCAGCAGCAGCTCAGCTCAGCGGCGATGATGGCTGCTCGCTGCTGGCCGTGCAGTGGTGCCCGTGCTGGGTGGGTGCCGGCCGTGTGCTTCCTCCCCTGGAGATGGACATGGCTGCTCCTGGCTTGGGCTTGCCGTAGGCAG